AGGGAAAAGGGAGTGGGGAAGAAGAAGGGGAGGAGGCAATACTACAGGAGTCATTTACGTCATTTGATGCATCACGAGTATCATGATATCGTCTGATCAGAACACAAAGCAGCAGGCGCGGCGAGTATTCATCGAAGCTTCCTCCAGCTTTCATGGAAACTTCGTCCTGTGATTGTGAACTGGATGAGAGGACTCAAGTTTGGTGAATTGAAAATTCTGAAATTTTATGAATAGATGCATTCTCCCAATCATGAAATCCCGAAAGAGGGTTTTTGCCCTCTTTGCCACATACTTGCCTAGCGGATGAATGGTATAGTATTATATACTATCTACTCCTGGAAATTCAGGCCCTAAAGGGCCTTTCAATTGGCCGGCCGCCAACCACAAAAAGAGAAGCAATCAATGATACATACGTCAAGAATTCAAACTTCAAATTCTTGCTTCCCAATTGATAATGCAAGGATCTGCTCCCGATACCGCTTTCATCAGTTCATCTCAAAGAGAGAGAATATTAGAAAAGAAGAAGAAGGTAGTAGCCACAGCGGCTCAGAGAGCGGAAGGGAAGTCTGATTTTCCAAAACAATGAAACACAATCCCTCCCCCGTCCCCCCTCCCCCCTCCCCCCTCCCTCCCCCAAAACAAAAACAAAAACAAAAACAAAACCACTAATGCCTCATACATCCCGAAATCAACGTAGTTCCCTCTTTTTCCTGTTATATCCAACGTGTGTGAAAGGCACTGAAAGCCTAGCGTGAATATAGCATGACTGATATCCTGACAGCAGAGAGCTGCCCGGTGAACTGTGCGCAGAAAGGGAGAAACACACAAGAAACTGACGGCTATGGCAGAATGTTTCATCAGAGTTTGACTAACTCATCTGGAGTCCCCCCCCCCGAGAATCGCTACTTCGATGGGCACACTTAGATGGTCAATCACTCCGCATCGTGAAGCCTCTCCTGAACCTTCAACGAAACAGCAACAATATCTGGGAAACTGCCATCATCTGTTCTTTGTACCCATTTAGGGGGGTATGTATAGGGGGGGTATACGGGGGTGAACTCCGGAGGGTTGAAATCAGCTTTCAGAACCTCTAGCATTGAGGACAGGTGATCTATCTTGAGCAAATTGACAAGAGACTGCTTTCCGTATAAATCAAGAGGGCCAGGTGTGCACGCCTCAAGGAGCTGCGGTGGATTCCAAATCCAACATCAGATGACTCACTGGCAATATGGCACTCATCCAAATGTAGGAAAAAGGTGACCTCGCTTCACACGGAGTCTGCAGTGTCCCCTAGACGATATGTATATTGTCACATAACTATGAACTAAAAGAGCGCACTTTGCGAAACAAATATCGTCAAACAGAAATGCCCCGTAAATTGTCGGCAGAGAAGGAGAAGAGGACAACGAACCAGGGGATGTGACAAACTGTTTCGTCGGAGTTTCACCGACTCATCAGGAGGCTGAACCCTCAACAGTCTGCAGAATCCCCTACCTAACTGATTACACTGTGAGTGATAATCCACCATAACCCCAGTTGTGGTTGAGCGTCAATGACTGCCTGACAACTGATACCCTGAGGTGGGCACCAACCACTGCCCTCAAGGATGTATACATCGTCAAAAAGAACTGCCCGGTAAACCGTAGGCAGAGAGGGAGAAGAGGACAGCAAACGAGGGACTGTGACAAACTGTTTCGTCGGAGTTTCACCGCCTCATCCGGAGGCTGAATGCTATATATACCATGCATGCGGTGCACCTGGTGCACAAGTATGCTGCACGTGCGGTACGAAGCGCTCGTACCACCATGCACTCACACCCCTGAAAATAGGGGGCCGGGTATGGTGGCTGACCCTGCCCTTGCCCCAGGAAAAATATGCCCTGACCAGGGTTGCATTACTGCCGGCCGCTGACCCCGACCGCCGACCGTTTTGCAGCCGACCAGTAGGGCCGACCGGTCAGCGGTCTGCCGACCAGTGAGAAAACAGCCATCCACTGTTTTTTTTTTCAAATCTGAGTTGGGGGCTGTACTGCGCTTGCTGAGCACAGCCCAACCTGACCAAAAAAAAAGCATTTGGAGTCGTATTCCCCCAAAAACTGTGTGTGTGCTGTTGCGTTCGTGTGTGTGTGTCCTTCGGGACATCAGTTACAATCGGAACAATACAGAGAAAGAAGATTAGCACGACCCCTGCGCAAGGATGACACACATAAATCGAGAAATGGTCCAATTTTTGAAGGGGAAAAAAAAAAAGTTGGTGTGTCTGTGTGCTCTCCTATGTATCTATACGGACGGCATATTCCAGGTCCGATACAGTCATGCTGACAGAAGCTCTCGCGAACAGTCGGTTTTGTCTCTTTATAACAAGAAAGAGAGTGTGAAAGAACTGACAGCAGCCGTTTTCCGTTTTTGCTAATAACACACACACCAGTGTTGCACACCCCGACGGTCGGCGGCCCTTGACTGGTCGGCACCTACCGGTTGGGGGTCGTCAGCACCCCGCAAAAAAAAAAAAAAAAAAAAGGGGGTCCAGAA